TTTTCATCTTCATGTATTATGTAAAAAGACGACAGTTTTTTTCGTACCATAAAAGCATTTCCTCCATATGGTCTACCGTGTGTATTTTTTTCTGCCGCATGAAAAAAAACTTTGTGTGTTAGTAATGCAATGTTATTTAACAAAAAACTCTCAATATTTAAAAGCCAATGTTCTGATATAAAAATAATATCGAAAGACTTTAACAACTTAGAAATATAATATGAATTCGATTTAAAGCTTTGACAGTTATATGCACATAGCGTAATATTTGTGTTAGTTACATTTAATTCTTTTTCTCCCATTATGATTTCAATTTTTATTGTTGCATAAATGCTGAAGAGTGGTGTAAGAATTGTGGCAAATGATTTTCGGTATTTTGATGTGGTTTTTCGATTGTTAGTGCTTCTCGCCGCATTCTAAACGGTTTAACAATAATGTTGTTATCCCAAACATCGGGTTTAAGTACCATTCCTTTTTCAGTACTATTAATTTTTACTTTGAAAGAGCGGTTGTACATGTTTTCTCTATTAAGCTTTATGTCTAAAGGAGTAATACCTATTTCTTTATTCATGTAGTTTGATAGATCTTCTTCGGATATGGAGTTACAAACTCCGCCTACAAATATATATGATTCTCGAATAATACGTTTGCCCGCAATCGAGCTTCTGTTGCTAGCGACTTTGTTTCCGAAAACGGGTTCTTTTTTTTGCTTATCCATATGGCTCTTATTAACTTTATTATTTTTTCCTACCACTTTGAATTCTTGATAGTCTGTTACACAGTCTTTTTCTTTTTCTGGTTTCCGGTTATTTTGTTCCGGGTTTTGCATTTTAACCACGGTAGCGTAGGAATCTCTAATTTTATTTTTTCTATCGGTATATAAACTTGAAATCTCTGTGCTGGAGTGTGCAGTAACTTCTTCCAGCGTATTTCTTTGATTTGGGGAATGATATTTTATTGAATTTGAAACAATAGATTTTATATTTTCTTGCGATTTATGAGGTTCACAATTACTTGTGTTGTTAAATTGTGACGCACATTGATTTTTCACGATTTCGTTATTTGTTTTTTGTAGTTCGTCGTATTTTACCTGTAATAAATGCAAATCTGCCATAATTTTTTTATTTTCTAATTGTAATGCTTTTAACCGATCAATAACTTCTTTTAAAATCAATGCCATATTTATATCTGGCGGTTGATACATTTGTTGACTAGCTTGTTTGGAGTTAGAAATCAATTTAATAAAGTCTTTATGAAGTTGATTTTCCGCTAAAGAAATCGACATCAGATAAATATCATCAAGACATGTTAATATCTTATACCGTTTTCTCAGATTTTTTTTAACGGGATCTTCCGCGTCTAGAATAATGTTTAGCAGTGAGAACTGCTCTATGTCAAAACGTTCCAATATTTCTTGAAATAATTCCACTCTTAATTTGAAAACTTCCGCCTCCTTAAATTGAGAAAACCCATAGATGATTACATCCCTTGGATGTGAGCAGATTTCCTCTACATTTATAATATAGTTCTCTAAAATATTGTTACTTGACTGTATTGTTAAAAACAACTCACCAATTTCTCTTGGCGCCATATAGCATAAAGTTCAAACGACCATATATAGCATAAAGCATACAAATATATAGCATATAGCATACAAATATAACATATAGCATAAAGTTTACGACCGCGTGTATCTAATCTAGTATGTTGCTCAAAATGTTTATTTCTCTTAAGTATTGTTTATTATGCATTCGCTTTATGCGAATGCATTTTATTTATTAAATTCAACTTTATTATTTTATAAAAATAACTTTTATAAATGTCTTTATGATTAAGTATTTTATATTAAAAATAATAAATAACAATCTGTTTCTCTCTCTCACTGAAAGAGAGGGATATATAATATATATCCCTCTCTCTCTCAGTATATATATATATATATATATATATATATATATATATATATATATATATATATATATATATATATATATATATATATATATATATATATAAAATATGTTAGTGTATTCTACAAATAGAGTGCTCAACGTTCTTAAAGAACAGAGCAATAATAAATTAGTATATGTATATATATATATATATATATATATATATATATATATATATATATATATATATATATATATATATATATATATATATATATGTATATATATATATATATATATATATATATATATATATATAATATGTTAGTGTATTCTACAAATAGAGTGCTCAACGTTCTTAAAGAACAGAGCAATAATAAATTAGTATATATATATATATATATATATATATATATATATATATATATATATATATATATATATATATATATATATATATATATATATATATATATATGTATATAATATGTTAGTGTATTCTACAAATAGAGTGCTCAACGTTCTTAAAGAACAGAGCAATAATAAATTAGTAAAAACACTTATCTAATTTTTATTTTCTTCTACAGCTTGTTTCTCCATCAGTAGGATCATCAGGAAGGAATCTTTCTGATGATCCAACTGATGGAGAAACAAGCTGTAGAAGAAAATAAAAATTAGATAAGTGTTTTTACTAATTTATATATATATATATATATATATATATATATATATATATATATATATATATATATATATAAAATATATATATTTATATATATATATATATATATATATATATATATATATATATATATATATATATATATATATATATATATATATTATATATATATGTATCTATATATATTATATATATTATATATATATATATATATGTGTATATATATATATATATATATATATATATATATATATATATATATATATATATTATATATAGATATTTGTGAAGTTGCTTTAAGTACTAATAAGCAATGTACAAAATGTTTGAAATATTTTACATTATCCTATCTTTATAAAAATTGCAGTTATTTTCATATTTTAAACATAAACAAACAGCATAAAAACATGTGTGATAACAATTGGATACATTTAGCAAGTCTTGAAGAAAATGTGCAAGCAACAATTAGACTTGTTGTTAATACTGATGGAATTCCTGTTTTTAAATTATCAAAGTGGACCTTGTGGCCTTTGCTAGCATCCATTCATAATTTTCCATATTCATTGCAAATTACTAATATTTTGTTTTTTTGTTTTGTTGATTTTTTACTAACCTATCCACTACTGGTATACTCTAATCTAATAATGTTCATGTTTTTTTTTTTTCATGTATCTATTTTTTTGTGTGATACAATTGCAGGAGCTATGGTTTTTTGTTGTAGGTAGTTTAATGATTATAATGGTTGCCAATGGTGTTCTTCTCAAGGGGTAAGAGTTAAAAAAAGGTAGGAGGTCTTGTATGACTTATCCATTTTCTGATGTTAATGGGAGTTGTAGAAACCATACAGATTTTTTTTGGATTAATGTGATTAAAGGGTTTTTAGATTTTTCTACATTTGTAAGAGTACCTAATTTTAATTGTGAAAATGGAACAGTTGTTAATAATCTGCACTGTATTGAGCTTGGTGTTATGAAAGCTATGTTTTCTTTCTGATTTGATAGTTATTATTCTGGTTATATTTTTTCTATTAGAAGACACTCTACTGTTGTAAATAATCTTTTATCTGCAATCAGTGTGCCAAGCAATATAAGACAGACTCGATCATCATTAAGTTGTATAAAGCATTGGAAAGGTATTGAGTTTTTTAATTTTTTAGTTTTTTATGGTCCTGTTATTTTATGTGATGTTTTGCCTCCTCAGTTTTTTGACCATTTTACTCTTTAATCTAATATTGTTTTTACGTTGAACAATAATGTATTATCTGAAAGTGTAATTAATGAAGCCACATTATTAGTTAATAGATTTTTTTATGAGTTTTAAATTTTATACAGTATTTATTATATGTTTTTATAAAATTGTTATTGATGTCCTTTAAATATTGTATAAACCATCTTCTTTTTTTTTAGCTTTAAAGACCCAAACGAAAATACTTTTAAAGTCAATTTTCGCAATTCTGTTTGTTTTGTTATGCTAATTTGTCAGTAGAGAACCAACAGACCACTGACTTCATAATTTTTCCATCTAAAATTATACTAAAATATCCTAATAAATACAATTTGAATTAGATGATATAAGTTATCAGAGAAAGTAAACAAAGTACACTTATTCAGAATAAAAAATGTAACTACTGCCATTTGGTTCTCGACTTTTTTGAAATGGGCTAAAAAACATGCTTAAGCATCATATTGCCTATAAGATAAATTTACTGCAATATTTTTCTTTTTCACTAATATACAGGTTTAAGTTTTGCTTTATAATGACTATTATGTTTTTTACAGATTTAAATATCTATATCAGTACAGAAAAGTAGAGCTGTATGATTTTTTGTTTTGTTGATTTAAACAGTTGAAAATTTAAAAAAAAATTAGTTTAAAAATTGTAAAGTTCCTTACAAAAAAAAACCCAGAAAACTTCCAGTGAAAGTTTGCTGGGTTTTTAAATTAAAATTATTTAGTTATTATAATAATTGATTATATATATATATATATATATATATATATATATATATATATATATATATATATATATATATATATATATATATATATATATATATATATATATATATATATATATATATATATATAATTAAGTTTTTATTATTTTATCTATAATTATTATTTTTATGCAGGATAAAAGTGATAAAATGCTATTGGTTGGAAATTGATAAATTAATAAAAAATGATTGATTCGCGAATTGCGCGAAAATATGTTGGTATGTTTTTATCTATCTTATACTGTTTTATTTTTGCTTATCATTTCACATTTTGTCTTATTTTGAATATTATGTTTTATATAATTATTAGTTAGTGTTTGTAAAACACTAACTAATTTTGATTGCTTTTAGATTTTGGATACTGCCTCTACCATTAACAAATTAAAAATAAAAGAAGCACTTCATATTAAATGGGAAAATCCTAAATATAAATTTATCTAACTAACTTACTACATTATTATTGTTATTTTAATATTAGGAGGTTTATTTTGTCATAATTTGTAATAAAATTTTTAATTGATTTGTAGCAAGTTTATTTGTCCATTAATTTTTTCTCTGTATTGTCTTCAGTTTTTAAATTTATTTACCAGAATATATATATATATATATATATATATATATATATATATATATATATATATATATATATATATATATATATATATATATATATATATATATATATATATTTATATATATATATATATATTAGTAGAAAGTCACTTAATAGAAAATTTTCTAAAAGTTTTCGATGTAACAGTGTAAAATGAAAAAAAGGTTTTGTTAAGTAATTTTCTACTTATTTATAATTGCTCTGTTCTTTTAAGAACATTGAGCACTCTATTTTGTAGAATACATTTTGAATATTGTTCTTTATTTATTGTATGCATTTTTTTTTTTTTTTTTTTTTTTTTTTAGCTCTAAAGACCCAAACCGAAAAGAATGCCTAAAGTGGTTTTCAAAAGATGAATTGACGAATTTCTTAATTCTTTTTGTTTCGTTGTGATAATTTGTCGTATGAGAACGCTAACGAGAAAAAACTTTTTAAATATAGAAACATGCGTAATATAAAGTTTACTTATGCCTATAAAAAAATATGTTTTACATTAATTAATAAATTAACTTTTTAGTTTCTTGTTAAAAATTGTATTCTGTATTGAAGTTTATTTCTGAGAATTTGTAATTATACCTAAGATAATCTAATCCTACATTGAATTTTAATTTATTAAACTCGATATTTTAAAATAAATATATTACTTTTTTATCGCGCTTAACTTCTCTTATTTCGCGTTTATTGGTTAAAAAATTTTAAAATGTTTATAAACTTTTGAAACTTTTATAGCAAAAATAAAAAATCCTTTTTAAAAAAACTTCCAGCGAATCTATTTTTATACATAAACATGAAAATTCGCTAGAAAAGTTCACTGGAAGTTCGCTGGGTTTTGGAACAAGTTCGCTGGAAATTTCCAGCGAACTTCCAGTGATCTTTAAAGATCACTGGAAAAGTTCGCTGGACGTTCGCTGGGTTTTGGAACAAGTTCGCTGGAAATTTCCAGTGAACTTTAGAGATCACTGGAAGTTCGCTGGGTTTTGGAACATTTTTTCACTGGAAGTTCGCTGGGTTTTTTTGTAAGGGCCATATCTGGAAGTTAGCTATCTCAAAGACCAAAAAATGTTGGTGGCGCCCCTAATTTGTTTGACAAAGTAAGTAAGAAATTTTTATTTACAACATTTTTCGGAATCAAGTGTTTTATCTAAAAAGACATCCTAGAAATTTTAATTAAATTAAAACAGTTCTTTCATGAGCGGTTTTAGCTTGGAAGAGGAGTCCTAAAGCTTTCTCCGCAAACAATTACTGCGACATTTCCAACATTGCATTGCAAATTTAAGACTCAATTAAATAACATATAAAAAAATATAAAGGAAAAGAAAAAAGACTTTACAGTTATGGCAACATAAAGAAAAACAAAACTGTCTGCAAAACTAATAATTATACATTTATTTTCTATGGTGCTCCATCACTTTTTTTAAGCAAAGATCTAAAGGGAATCTCACTTTTACAAAGATTACAGTCTATTACAGGTTACATTGTAAAGTTTTCGTTCAAGTTTTTTCTCTAACTTAGCAACCATATCTACTTTATGACATGTGTTTTTTGAAATATGGCGGCCGTGGTGCAGTGTTTAGTTGATCTCTGGATCTCCTGCTTTATAACCTGGATCTCCTGCTTATAAAGCAGGAGATCCAGGTTTGAAACGAGCCTTGGACATATTTTCACGTCACGGTAAGGAAAGAGGCGTGAACTTCCTGGTTAAATGCGCTTCCTCGATTTTCTGTCACAAGATCGTTAGGTTTTCTTGAGGCACCTAAATAACAGTTAAAAAAAAAAAAAAAAAAAGTATTGTCATGCTCTTGAAGAACTACATAGATGTTCTAAGCTTTTACGTGTTGCTGCAACAAGAGGTAAAACTTTGAGAGTATGATACTCCCACCGTACTGGGGTGGTAACTATTTTTAAATCTTGTATGACCGTGACACAATGAGTTTTAGACTAAAAATAAAAGATACCTTTATTTTAATTTTAAAAAAAATAAAAAGCTTCCCTCTGATTTTAGGCCATTTCAATGCCATGTATTTTTAATAAATTCTAGATGCTTAAAAAATTAGTACCAGGATAACTTTTAAATTTTATTCAAAAAATTTATTTCTTTATTGATTGTTTTTGTTTTTGTTATAGTTTTTATTTGCTATAGTTTATATAGTTTTGTTATAGTTGTAACAGTTTTAGCATAAAACCATAGTTTCTTGCGCTACTTTTACAGCACGTTCTGCACAAATATTGGATCTTGCCGTGTTTAAAACTACTTCTTGATTATACCAGTGCATGGTGACCCGATTAAACTTAAAAATGACAAAAAGTCGGGAAAAAAAGTGAAAGTTTTATCGTTTTTTGAACTAAAATGTTAAAGTAAACTACTTTTTTGGCCTAAAATTAACATTAAATAATTTAACAGACATTATTATTGCGTAAATTTAAAAGGGAATATGTGTAAAAAGTTAATTTTATCACCATAAAATTATTAAAATTTAAGTTATGTTTATCTTGTAAGCAACCTTGTTTTCCACCACCATAACTTTTTTTTTTTTTTTTTTGTTAAAGTAATGAGTGCATAGATATTTAAAAAAAATTTTTTTTTTTTCTTTAGATTTAAAAAACAAGTTCTTTTTAATTTTTCTTTTAAAGATTATAATTTTAGTACACAACACAATGGCCTGAAAAACTTGATTTGTTGGCCAAAATTAAAAAAAAAAAATCGGTAATTTTTGTTATTTGTATTATTTTTAAACACAAGATTGTCTAGGCAATTTAAAAATATATAGGTTTCATAATTTTTCTTAAAAGAAAAGTCAATAACCGTATCCAAGAGCGAATAAAACCGATGAATGATTTCTTGCAAAAATACAACATTTTTTCATTTGTGTATAAATTTATAACTATATCACATATATAGAGATTTTGTTTTTTTTAAACAAATGTTTTTGTATAGAGTTTAATTTGAAATGGTAATAATTTTTTATTATTGTATATTTGCTTAAGTTATTTATGTTTGAAACTAGCATAAAATAAAAGTTTTTATGCTAGTTTCAAACATAAATAACTTATGCAAATAATTATTTATGTTTGAAATTTATATTTCAAACATAAATAATAATTTGCATAAGTTATTAATGTTTGAAACTAGCATAAAAACTTTTATTTTAAGCTATTTTCAAACATAAATAACTTATGCAAATATACAATAATAAAAAATATTTTTTTATTATTATATACCATATTTTTTCAATTTCAACTTCTTCCTAAAACTAAAGTCCTGGACTTTATCGATATGATTTTATTAAATCCAAATATGCATATATTATGTGCATATTAGGATTCATTATATATTCAAAAAAAATCAACTGCAGATAAAATTATTTAAAATTCCAAAAATATACCTTTTTTATGTTATCAAAAATACTTGTTGTATTTTTGTTTCTATAAATTTTATTATAAGTTTTATTTCTATAAATACCTGTTAAAAAACATTTTTTTTATCTTTATACAATCGTACTTGCTATCTTTATACAATCGTACTTGCTATCTAAATTGTTAAAATTAGTTCAAATATTCATTTTTATTTTATTTTTATAAAATATTCCGTATATTAACTAGATAAAAATATTTTAAAAAATGCATATTTTGGTAAACTTAAAATCTATGTAAAATGCAAAGCTATTAAAACATTATATTTGTAGTATATATTTTGAACATCTGTTATCGCTTAATAATTCCCTAAAAAAATCAGTTCCAGGCAGTTAAAAAATAAAGGAACTAATTACTCTTTGCAAGTATTGACACTATATTTGTGTTGTTTTTAAACAACATTTTTAATCATATCTATGTTTTTTATTCCGTATTGTACATATACTTTTTATATAATGGTTTTCAATTTAATGACTTATATATCTTTAGATTGATTATTAAATTGAAACTAGAATAGTAGCTTTTCATGAAAATATAAATACCCAACATATGACTAATGTTGCAAACTGCAATAGAGCCAATCAAAATTGATGTTGAGACACTGAGTCTTAAAAGTTCAACGCTTTTGACAGCTGAGACTGTTATTGGCTTTATGCTGTAAAACATTCGAATTTAAATAATAATATTGGGAAGGAGTTATATGAAAATCTCAAGAAGCAAACGAGTGAAAGATGGAATAACAACCCAGCCGGCAAATAACGTTGAAATAACGTTGAAATATCGTTGAAACCTAACGTTGAATTAACGTTGGTTTAACGTTTAGAATGAAAGTTTTTTTCAACGTTGATTTATCAACGTTAGGTTCAAACGTTATATCAACGTTGATTCGACGCAAAAAAACGTTACAATAACGTTGAATTTACGTTGATTTAACGTTTAGAATGAATGTTTTTTTTAACGTTGATTTATCAACGTTAAATCAACGTTAGATTCAAACGTTATGTCAACGTTGATTCGACGCGAAAAAACGTTACAACAACGTTGAATTTACGTTGATACAACGTTTAAAATGATAGTTTTTTTAACGTTGATTTATCACTGTAAAACACTTTTTCACTATCAAAACGTGCTATGTATGTCAAAATGTATATATGTATGTAAACGTGCTATGTGCGTCAAAATATGATCACCATCAAAACGTACTATGCATGTACATTAGTGTTGCTGTACATTATCAAGGTATATTATGGATATTAAATCTATTCATGGTCTATACTTAGACTATTTAGAACTTTTTCAGTTTAGTTTAGTTAAAATAGCTAGGTATGATTAAAGAAAGAGATAAAACTTGTTTTATTCAAAAATACATATTCAAATATTACATATATTTACATATAATTGAATAAAATCTACACAAATTTCTTCTCTTTTCCACCACATTTTTGAAATAAAGCGTAATTTAGAAAGTCAAACAATATTCCATTAACCGAGGGTCTTTTGGTCCATTGAGTACAATATAAGAAGCTGTAAATAAAAAAATATATTAAAAAAAAAAACAAAAAGGGAAGATTTAAAAAATAAATAATCAAGGGAAAAGTGTTACAACTTATGAAGGTATATCTTTTTCAACGCCATATAGATTAGTGTTCTTAAAACATATTTTTCCACCTTTGCCCTTCATATCCATCGAGGCCATATAACTTTTCGAAAAAACTCTGAATTTTTAAAAAATAATATAACTGTTAGTTGGTTATTAATAACTTTTTCAAATATTTAATTTAAATAAAACAACCTTTTTAATATATTAAAAATAAATTAATAATCAAAATATAAAACATTTCTAGCATTGAAAAATAAATTTTGGGGTGGCCACATAAAATTTTCATAAGAAATTTTATGTGGCCATTTATTAATGGTTTAACGTCCATGCTTATACACTTATGGGGCATGGACAGGGATCAAATAATGTCATTTGTTATGTTAAATAGCATGCATTTTCTAAAGCAATTTTTTACAATTCCATGC